GGACATATCTGCCCTTGGTGTTTACATCATAACTGCTAACAAATAACAAACAATATAGAACTGAAACTAGAAATAACAGAATAGTAAAATAACCACAGCTGTGACTAGATACATTCTACCCTACGGACAGAGTGGGACCACAGCTGTGGGGCCCACATCAATGTTCTCTACAGTTTTAAAGAAGAGTTTCCTCAAGTCTCGTGTTGGTGTTAGTGTCTATATGTGTCTAATACTGTTTTATTTTTATGTTTTACTTTTTTAGGTAATGGTCTTACATTTGTTTGGACCGTTTGGTACTCATATTTTAGTTCCATATTTGTAGCCTCTGATGGATATTTGGAAGAACAATGATTTTCTTTTGTTTTGATCAAATAATACTTCATTGATATTTTTTTTTATAATTTTCCTTTCTTCTTTCCCTTGATTTGTTTTCCATTTTAGGGGCATCTGATAAAGAATCCTAGTACACAAAGAGCCAAAAGTTTGCTTGAGATACCTAGTGCTCATCGTATCATTATTAGTGGAACACCACTACAGAACAATCTGAAGGTGACACCTTAGTTTATTTGTTACTAATTCTTTATGGTTTATAGAGTATGCAACACTGAAACTCTGTTGTCTCTCAAAAAAAAATTGTTGTGAAACAGGAATTATGGGCCTTGTTCAACTTCTGTTGTCCTGGACTCTTGGGTGATAAGAATGAGTAACTGTTCACATGCTTCACTTGTCCTTTTCTGAACTATTACTTTTCATGTTATTGAATTCTGAGATCTTTTCAGGTTTAAGGAAAGATATGAAAAAAAAGTTCTTCGCGGGAATGAGAAGAATGCTTCTGATAGGGAAAAGCGTATTGGCTCTACAGTTGCAAAGGTATTGGTTTATTAGTGGGAACTAGGAAGTAGGCTTATTAATGGTACTGTGTCATTGAATATCAAAAGATGTAATATTGTGTCTTATTGGTTCTACATATTTTTTGGGCACAGATGTAATATTGAAAGAAAACTCTCGAGTTTTTTGCTCATTTTACTGCTCTTTTCCTGGTTTGTAGGGGTAGCTGAGGCTGCCCACTGATGTAAATTCTTCTTACAAATTAATAAAAATCTTGTGTTTTTTACTGATAAAAAATGATATTGTGTCATTGAAGTGTGGTGTGTCTAGTTTCCTCCACAAAGTGAATGCTGAAACTGTGCAAATACGTAAATGACTCTTGTTCCAGCTAGTTTGGTACTCCAAAACATGGACTTTGAATATCTTCTGAGGTTCTTTGAAAGATATCATAAGTATGAAGTGATATGCTGAAATTCCTATTCAAAAATCCATTTTTGGAAATAGTTTATGTTCTAGTTCTATCTTCCATTCTTGTGCTCCACAGCTCCATGCATGCTACCTGGTTATTTCAAAAAGGATTGTCTATGTGTTTCGGATGCTCTAATTTGCATTTACTGTCTTGCTAGCCTATACCTGGATAACATTTTTTGTGCTTAATTTGCAAGTCGGAGTTTTCATCAGTTTTAGATGGCAGTAAACTTTACAATTGATTCTTGCCTCTTTCACTCTCCAAAACACCATTACTAACTCTTTGTCATCATTTTGATTCTTAAAGAAACTTGTTATTGTTATAGATGCATTTTTCACAAGTGATGTTTGTTTTCAGTATCAGGCACAGACCTCAAAGCATGCGCTTATGTTTCTAATGCATCTCATGAGTGGCGTTTGTTTGATACTAGGAAAAAAGGAGTCATGAAACTCATAAAATCCTAGGCAATAAACAAAGATAATCATGTTGTAAATTGATTCCTATTATTAAGTATCTAATCTTTCTATAACCAACCTTGAAGAGTGCTGTTTATCTTAAAGTGACTTCAATGTGTTTCAACCACATGAGGTTTGGACAAGAATGGAATTTATTAGTCAAAAGAAGCATGTTTATTGACTAGATGTTGGCAAAACAAGAATATAAAGAGAAATAAAAGGGTGGAGATTTTCCTGAGCTTACGGTTTTTATTGAATCAATTGTCCTCAATCCTTTTCTTTTGATAAAATTTATTTTTTGTTATTATCAATAAAATTGTAACCATTAAAGGTCCATAAACGTGGATTCTGTTGTTTTACATTCTTTTCCATAACTTCGTTGACCTTAAATGTGGATTTAGTTTTTTTCATTTAATTTTTATTTGCCTTGCAAATGTATTTTCCTGAAAATATGCATTTAGATTTGATTTGCCATGGTTTCAATAATTGTCAGATAGCATTCTTAAAATGTAGAACAATATAAGTACAGTGCTTAATCTTTTTACAGGAGTTAAGAGATCGTATTGAACCATATTTCTTGCGTCGCCTAAAAAGTGAGGTTATACTTGAAAATGAAGCAACAAAAGGTGCCAAACTTTCTAAAAAGAATGAGGTCATTGTGTGGCTGAGACTGTCCCCTTGCCAGGTATTATCTACTTTGCAATTTATTTATTTTATCTCTAACCTTTTTGTTATAAATTCGTCTGATGATGTTCTTGTTGATTTTTGTTCTTGTGTAGCGGCAACTGTATGAAGCCTTCCTGAACAGTGAGCTGGTTCTTTCATCATTTGATGGCTCACCTTTGGCTGCACTTACGGTACTGATATTGGAAGTCTGTTATTTCTTTCTAAATTAATTTCCTTGTACTTTGTTTTATATCCTTAATAAATTTTTTATTGTTACTGATAAAAAAATTTCATTGTTTTGTACTTAGAACCCTTTCTCAGTTTTGGCTTATTTGCTTAAAATTTTGAATTCATTATTATTTTTGTAGTATACTTTCAGTCCCTTGAAACCCTAGTCAGTCAGTCTAATTTTCAGTTGCCAAGTTATGTCTAAATGTATTTTGATATTTGGCTGATATATTTTGAAATCTAGCAGGTAGGTATTTAAATTAGAATGTTCAACATCACAATTTGGTATTTTCATGCTATTGTTTTTGTTAGTGGCTGCTTAACCTCATGCTCTCTTACATCTGTTTGCTACTTATGGAAGTTTTATGCTATATGGATTGATTTGCATTATTCTTCTAGAATTTTGAAAGAATTAAATATATTGGTTTCTTTTTAATCAAAGTTATGTTGGTTTGAAACAGATCCTGAAAAAAATATGTGACCATCCATTTCTTTTGACTAAAAGAGCTGCTGAAGATGTATTAGAGGGGATGGATTCAATGTTAAATCCGGAAGATCTTGGTGTGGTGGAAAGAATGGCATTGCATTTGGAAACTGCTTCCTATAGTGATGACTCTGAAAATATGCATTACAATGTTTCTTGCAAGATTACATTTATATTGTCTTTACTGGTTAGGATTACAGACCTTTTCCAACTTGCTCCTCCTGGATATTTCATTTGACAAGCTGCATTTGATAGTGTGTTACATTGTTGTAGGATAACTTGATTCCTGAAGGGCATAATGTATTGATTTTCTCTCAAACTCGCAAAATGCTAAATCTTATTCAGGTAATTCTGGATAGCTGAATTGTCTCTTTTTTTTATTGCTAAATTTATGGTATTTTAAAGAATACTGCTTTTCTCATCCTGGTTTAGTTTTGTACTCTGGCTTCTGTGTCTTTACTGACTTTATGTGCACAAGTACCTTTAGTTTTTATCTTTGTTTCTATACATTTATAAGATGTCCTTGAAATTTGTTGTTACATAATAATGTTCAGCATTGCAGCTAATGAAAGATAACACATGTCAAAGTTTAGTCATTGCTTTTTCTAGAAAAAGGGTGGCATTTTATCAAGGATTCACAGGTGAATACATTGTTTGGTTTTGCCATTGCAGATGATCCATTTTGTGTAGTCTCCCCTTTTAAGCTGTGTATTATATTGGGGGGCATGCGATGATATTCCTAGGATCTTTGAAGGAGTTTGAAACTCTTTTGTAATGATTGACTTTTCTATAGTGCTTGTGATATGAATAATTCATGTGAACTGCCACATGCCTAAATATGACTGAAGTTTATTTGAGAGCATCATCCCTTAATGTATTGAAAACATTGTGTTTTTGCATAATAATAAATGATTATTTGTTCCTGCCTATTTCATTATCATATTGGTTATTATTGGTAGTTTCTTGGAGCATGATACAATGTGTCAATGTGAACAACAATCCTCAGTATGGATTCCTTTTGTGTTGTTGCTCTGGTTCATTTTTTGTGAACATTGTGTTTTATGAAATTGACACTCATTGTTAGAAATGGGAACCAAGAAACATGGTTTTTGACAAAAAAGAATCGTTATTTTTTAATATTATCCAATGGAGAAATTTAGGTAAAAATAGCTCCAGAGATCTTACAACTAATGATTTATGAAGGTGATTTTGTTTGTTAAGTCTTAGATAATCCCCGCCAATAAGAGAACCAGGACTACCAAAATTGATAAGCACACCCTTGGAATATGTAAAGTATGAAACAATGTTGAACTTTTGATTGTATTGCTTAATTCCATTTCCAGTCATCACTTTTTATATTTGTCTCATATTTACTAATTCTCAATTAATGCACTGTGAGATGATATTGGATTTTTTCTTCAAAAATCTTGTTTGGTATGGGTAGTGTTCTTATATATATGCAATGTAAGCTTGTTTTGTATAACTCTTAAATTGTACTTGCTTGGCATGAAAATTGTTTTTCCTTTGATATTTTCCTTCTCAGGAAGCAATAGTATCAAAGGGCTACAAGTTCTTACGGATTGATGGGACTACAAAAATCAGTGACAGGGAGAAGACTGTGAATGTCAGTTTTCTGGACATTGACAACAATTTCTTATTTTCTTCTTGAATCGGTTATCTTACTTTTGCCATTCACATACAGGATTTCCAAGAGGGTGAAGGTGCACCCATTTTTCTCTTGACATCTCAAGTTGGCGGTCTTGGTCTTACGCTTACAAAAGCAGACCGTGTGATTGTGGTAGACCCAGCATGGAATCCAAGGTGATTTAGGTGCACATCGGGTGTTTTTTTTGTAATTAGTTGACACTTAAGTTTTCCATTATGTATAGTTGATTCTACAAATTAATTTTCTTCATCCTTTTTTAGCAATGATTAATATTCCATTAATATTTTCTTGCACCATTTCATTGATCTTTTTCCTTGTCCAATACATTATATTCTTTATATGGATGCGTGGTTTTGAAATGTGCAAGAAACATGGAACATAAATTTTGAAGCATGTCTCTATTTTCCATCTAAAATTTCTAGCTTAGAGTTGTATACCTGTCCATGATTTATAATATGAGAACACCAAGTTGCAACTTCTTTCAAAACCAGGTTTATTCTCTCTTAGTTAATTATCATTTACAAGGAAAGTGAGTAATTGATCTGGTGGTGGCTCTGATTTTGTAGTACGGATAACCAAAGTGTTGACCGTGCATATCGAATTGGGCAAAAGAAGGATGTTATTGTTTATCGATTGATGACGTGTGGCACAATTGAAGAGAAGATTTATAAAATGCAGGTTATAAAATTTTCTCCATAAAAGTTGTCTGGTCCCTTTCCTTTTATCTGGTCCCTTTCCTTTTATCTGGTCCCTTATACTTCATGTTGAATTAGTTTTTATGTGAGCCAATCTGCATGCTGTCCTTATATGCATGTGCATGCATATGGAAAATAGGCAATATGAATATATTGGAAAAGCATGCTTTTCAGCGGAGAAGCCTTCTATGTCTTTATGTTTACCTCTGGAAAATGTTTATGTTGGACTTTGGAAGTTAAAATTGTTGCATCATTATGCTTTCTCCATTTGATGCAGGTATTCAAGGGAGGCCTGTTTAAATCTGCAACTGAACACAAAGAACAAACTCGGTACTTTAGCCAGCAGGTATACTTGTATGTGTTGTCTAACTTGCAAAGTTTTTGAAGGGGTGTTCTCTAACATGAATATCTATGATGCCCATAAATGCACAAGGACATCCACACGGATACAGGAAACAGGGTTATGAGTCTCCATTTCCTTAAACCCTGGACACTAAGGGGTATCCCATTTAATATGCTTATATTCATGCTTTTACATCTAGTTTTTTGGAGCTGAATGTCATTTCTCAAGACTTATGTCTTGCAAAATTTTATTGAGTTGCTAACATTTAGAGATTTTTTCATAGTGTAGTTTTTCTTAAAACATATAAATTTTACACATTTTAATATTGTTAATGCTATGGAGTACATCTGGAAGTGCTTGTGCAGTTTTTTCATAGTATAGTTTATTGTGTTGTATCTGGCAAGTATCATGGTTGACAACAGTGCACTAGGCTTGTATAGATATCCAAGTATTATAAATGAATGTTTTTGTTTTTCTTGTTTCTAAAGGATGCTGCATTAGAAAATAACAAAATGCATTTTTGGATGTGCGTTTTTTTTTTTTCCAAAACTATGTGCAAACATTTTCAGTTTGATTCAAGGAAAATAAAAAATATCCCTATCAAAAAGGTGTTTCAAGAATAAAAAAAGTTTTCATTTCCAGAAGGATGGTGTGGCTTCTATTCAGTGTATGGCACACTTTGAAATTTCCTATAGACCCTCTTACAAATTGTTGTTTTGAAGTTCTTATCGTCACACCAGACCACATTTAAATGGGTTTGTGTCCAAAGGGTAAATAAAAATAGAATTATGAATTGGTAAGCTAATATCCATTTGGTCATAGTCTTTCTCTGTTTATTCTCTCCCTCCCTCCCTCTCTCTCTCTCTCTCCCTCTCCCTCTTCATATTGTTGTATATTTTTTGACACATATAATCAAGCCACTGGATAAATACAAGTTTTTGAAACCAGAAATTCAATTGTGTTTCTGTCTCAGTTTTGGAAAAAGAACACTAAATGACCAATAGCATGTTTTCTGTGTTTTTGTTTTAAGAGTTTAAGAAAACAATGCTTCTTCAGACCTGCTTTGGGCCCAATTTTTTGGACCACCACCACAACAACACAAAATTCAAATGGAAAGTGCCCACTAAATAGTTTACATATTTTACCCCTTATTGGACTTGGTGGTTAAAAGTTGTTTAGTGACATAAGTTTTTAGATTTTCTGTTGTTAATTTATCTTAAATCTTTCAGGATCTCAAGGAGCTTTTCAGTCTTCCTAAACAAGGATTTGATGTATCACTAACTCAGCAGCAATTACATGAAGAGCATGATCGACAGTGCACAATGTATTGTCTCTATACCAGCAGCCATGTTATTTGCAATAGCAGAAAAATGTTGTCTTTAGCTGCATTCATATAAAGAATGCTTTGTGCCAATACTAGGGTAAATCATGCTTATAATCATCTTAATTCTTTTTTAAACATTCCTGATCGTATCAATTTGGTATTATTCCTCTGTCTTAATATTTTCTTTGAGTGCCTTTTAAGGAAACAATTTTCTTCTGACATGCATATGGGTTTAAGGTGAAGGAAAACCACTTGTATTGTGAAATAGATGGCTTTGTTAGTGAAGTTAGTAATATGCCTAACACCTCGTTGTTTAAATCGAGGTTCAAAGTGTTGATACACCCCTTAGTGTATTGGGATGTATTGGCACTTTCAAAAAGAGTATCAGTCTTGTTACCCTAATCCTGCATATTCCTCAGTTCTCAGTTTGCTATTGTTCCAGTCTCTCAGATCACCAGATTTGGAGATTTCACCTCACTTTTCATTACTACCCCAACTTTCAGAGTCTTAGACTGCCTTAGCCATTGCCGCTGCCTTACAGTTTGACAAAACTAAAATTGGAACCTTACCACTGATAATGTGACTGCATTGGGGGGCTTTTCCCCCACTGTTCCAGCTGAAAACTGCAGGTAAATGGAAAGTTATCTAATTACTATTGTTTACCTATAAATGCTCTCCTATTAATCATCATTTTCCATGTTTCAATTCTGTTTTAGTTTGGATTGCATTTATGCAGTTATGGTTATTTCTCCATTATTACATTTCACTCTTGCAGTTTTCTCCTAATTTTATATACTTTGCAATAGGGAGGACTCTTTAAGAAATCACATAAAGTTTCTAGAGTCTCAAGGTATAGCGGGGGTCAGCCATCACAGTTTGCTCTTCTCCAAGACTGCACCTCTACAACATGTAGAAGAAGAGGAACTGCTAAGGTGAGGCACCACTTTTTGCCATGAGTAATATATAGGTGTTAAGATGAGGTTCTAATGGAAGTACACTCTTCATTTTTCTTGTTCTTTGTCTTGATATATGATACTCTTTTCATGAGTTCTCTTTCCAGCAACGATTCAGCTCTATAATTTGCAGTTGAACTTCATTTCACTGACTGCAAAATTCCTGTCATGTATGACCAACTAGTTGTGTTACACAAACTTACAATGTCAATACTCAACTGCCCATAAATCACACATCTTAATTGTTATATCTGTGTGAAATAATATTTTAGAAAGAATAGAGGTATATCAGTGACCTGAAAAGTCAGAAGCAAGATGAAAATGTACGGCAATATGCAAAAGAACATAAAATGATAAAATAAGATTACCTTTGCATGTAACAATAAAAGAGCAATTAGATCTTGAATATTGGGAGGGAAAACAGTTGTTCCAAATCACAATTATGGTATTGTTTTCCCAATATGTAGGATTGTATAGCTTTTCTGTCAATAAGATGCAATAAATTAGTTCATGTTTTGACTACACATGTTAATCAGATCTAGGGATCACGTGTCTGGTTTCCTATTGTAGGTTACCTAGAAAAGATTATTTTGGAGATATAATATTCTTTGATTTATCTGAGAGTGCAGGAGAAAGCAAATTACATACGTGGGACCTTCATCGTCATGCTTTTCACTTGATCGCAGTGTTGATGGGTATGACACCTGGTTAACCCATCAATGCTGTCCTCTCATGGTGGTGAAAAAAAACTAGAATGCAGTATCTGACATTTGAATTACCCTTTATTACAGGGCTCAGTATGCTTTCAAACCCAAAGATGTGAAGCTCTACAGCAATAGTGCATCTTCAGGTGGTCCAGGCAAACCAAAGGAGGTGGAAATTATAGAGAGAATTGAACGTCTATCTCAAACTTTGGCAAACAAGGTATGCCAGATCCTTGTGCTAGTAAATAGGTTACAGGTCTAGCCAGTAGCCAGTAGCCAGTTGATGCAATTTACCCGTATAATGGATCAAAGCTATGTTAGATGGCTTCCTTTAATCCTTTAGGCCTAATTATTTTTTCTATGTTATTGAAAGCATAAATTTGGTTTATACTGAAATTAGATAATTTTTTTTAGCTGGCTTCTGATGACTTGATATACTTCACTTTTTTCTCCAATAAATATGATTTGTTTACTTGTTGGAAACAATGTGTTTCAGGCCACAATTTCAAGGTTACCAGATAAGGGAGACAAGATACGAAGGCAGGTCGCTGAATTAAATCTAGAGCTTGATAAGATAAGGATGGAAGACAAAAGAATTGAAAAAGAAATTATTGATTTGGATGATATCTCAGGGGACCTTCATAGGGTTTTAACTGTATAGAGTTTAGCTTTTTTACTTCTTTAATTCTGCAAAGTTACTCTGATTATTACAAACATACAAATGAAGTTTCCAGTTTGAACCAGTAACTCTGTACATTAGTATGCTGTGCCCTTGATTAATGATTTAAAGGGCTAACTAATTTTATTGAATGAGATAGTTTCATCAATATCGTTTTTAGAGCATCATTTACAATGAACTTATCATAGGGATGTTAATTAAATTAGAACCAAAGATATTTATGATTTGAAGAAATGAAATCCATTTCTACTTTTATTTTAAGAGACCAGGAGGATTAACAAAAGGTTTGTCAGTTATAAACTTATCATTGGGTCTTGTTGGATAAAGCATAAAACTCAATAAGCTTGATTAATAAGAGGGTTGATTTTGGTTCTGTTAGAAATCCTTGTCTCCATATTGTGCATGTTGGAACTGGGTTTGGGTGCTATCTTATAGGTATGGGACACAATGGGAGTATTCAGTCCTCACAGAACCATTCTCACACTGCTCACAGCCTTTTGATCCATTCATTGGGAACATCTTTGTATTTGCACTAGCGGGGACCCATGCGATGCATGGGATTTATCAACGAAAGTGAAATAACCAAAACTTATAACTAAGAATGCAATGCTCTTTAAAATAATTAAATCTTTGTTTTAATAATTTATTATAAAATGTTTTACTAATTTAGTAATTTAGTAATTTGGATTAACTATATTAATATTTTTAATAAAAATAATAAATTATTGCTATCTACTTAATAAAATAATTATTTTTTTCCATATTATTTGTTAGTGTTCTATTTTATTTATTTTACTTTATTAATGATTAAATGTTTCAACTGTTGTAAATATCACTTAAATATTTAAAATACTTAAAGATCAATAAAAAACCAGCGGTTTCAGTTTTTAGAAATATATAGAAATAATATGTATACTAGTTGGTTCGGTTAACCGACTGTTTTTTATATGGTTAATCGAAACCGAACCGGTACCTTTGGTTTTTCTAGAACATTGAACCGAAGTTGAATTGACCGGTTCGATTAATTGATTTTTTGGTTTGGTTTTGGTTGATTTGGTTTTTCATTTTTTTTTTGCTCACCTAGCCTGCAACAATGGGGAATACCTTCATATGCATCAAAACATGTAAAAATAGTGAAAATGGCTCGCTTTTGCAAGAGGATTATAGATATGGTCTAACCTTTGCTCGAGATCACTAGAAAAGCTGTCGGAATTATGATTGTTGGGACAATGGGCTGAAGGAAGAAGAGACTCTCGAGTTCCAAGTCTAACAAAAGCTGATAATCTTTCTCAGACGCATCTCACTATTTTTCTCTCACTAGGGTTACACTATTTTGGTATGATCCCGCTCACTTGTTATTGGGATCTTGCGTCTCACGTTTTTCTCATCCCAAACCATTGTATCACAACAATCAAACATGGGAAAAAGGAATTATTTAGGAATATTCCTCTTTTCCCATCCCTATCCCGTAAACTAAACAGAGCTTAAGTGTAATAATATTTGTCTGGGCCCACAAGCTTGCCCATATTAATTATAAAACTATAATTTTTTTACAAATTAAAACTTTTATCTAATTCAAGTCTAGTATAAAAAAATAAGGTAAAATACAAAAACCTCCTATGAAGTTTCTGACAATAAGAAAAACCTCCCCTTTAGTTTCATTTTAACAAATACCCCTCCTGAACTTTTAAAAATCCAACAAAATTCTCCCTTCCGTCACTAACCTAGACGGTAAATATACAAAGTTATGAAATTACCCCTGACAATTGTCATTTAAAATATTTTTAAAAATCAAAATTGCCCTCATTCAAACAACAACACATTCACCATTTTTTACATTCTTTTTCAAAGCAAAAGAAAATAATGTATGGCTGTGATTGGGGAAATGCAAAGAAACCAAAAAGGAACTGAGCAGATTGGCAGTAAATAAGGGGATCCCGGAGGGCACCGGGTTCCAGTGATTGAAGTCTATTTTCAGGCGGCCGGTGTAACAGGCGCAGAGACTACTAAAGGAGTGTTTCTAGCATATTTGGGGAGCTACACGTCAGCACTGTAGGTGCAGTGAGGGTAGTCCGCTGGATAACCAGTAGCAACGGTGATGATTCATGTCCGAGGGCAAAAGTTGTGGCAGAATTGGTTTCCGACGAGAGGGTGGTGGCTCTTTTTCCCGGAGAGAATGGCAATGCACGCAATCTTGTGGAACTATTAAGTTTCAAAGCTTCTAATGTGTGCAAAACAGAGGGCTCATATACGCCACATCTAGTTTCTTCTTTTAAAATTTTTGCCACTTTTTGTTTCTCAAAATCATAGCCGAGCATATCATTTTCAATCGAAAGATTGCAAGATGAATACAAAGATGTTCAAGATGATGATGCTCTATGTACCATGGAACATGGAACATACGTCTGGATCTGCTAGATATAACAGAGACTATTTACCAAACAAGGGATGACTGCGAATGTATACCAGTAGGCCGGAATATGTCACCGCCGGTGCAATACAAATCAAAGACAGAGCTTTTACATTTTCATACGTTTTCATGCACACAAACGATAGAACAGAGAACACTCAATTTCTAACAAAGACAGTAGCAAAAGGTATCTTGAAATTAGACCTGTTCATGGGCCGGGTCGGGCCGGGTTTGATTCGGATTTTCACTCTGTATTAACAGAATTTTCTAAGGTCCGAGCCCGAGCCTGATCCAACCATCGGACCTACAACTTGGGCCTGAGCCCGGCCCTCATAAAAAGCCCGAAGCTCGGGCCTGGGCTCAAGTCCGAAATTTAGCCCATATTATTAGCGGTTGAATATAGAGAGAGATTATAAAGAAAAGAATAAAAAATGTAATTAGCCCGCGGGCCTAATTACATGACCAAGCTCGACCGGGGTGCGGACCGGGCCGGGCCATCGGACTACCCGGCCCATGAACAGGTCTACTTGAAATGTGAGACCCGCTCAATAATACTGGTCAAATGACCCAAAATTATACAGTCATTTTAAGAGCTTTCTCATTTTCTATCATCAAACACCAAATGCATCTTAATCATCGTCCTCCAGAGTCTAGAACACTCCCATGCCTCTGAATCGTTACTTTGGTTTGCTTTGCTGTTTGATTGTTAATATGTTCCGATATAAGCCTTTCTTCAGACACCTTCAACTATTTAACCCATTTGAGCAGCTCTGAGTAGAACTTCCACAACTCCACGTGCCTTTTCACGCTCAACCAAAGCAATCCGAGCAAGCCTTTCTCATGTTTCAGATGACAAGATTTGACTAAGCATCTTGCCTCCTTTCATCTGCTTCTCTTTTGGCTTCTTCTGTGCTGCTTCGAGTTCTGCTAATTTTCAATACCATGTTATGCCATTAACTTCTGCATTCTTCTTTGTCTGTTAACTTCCATTTCGGGATCAGCCATTGCTTTTTTCCTTCCTTCTCAAACCCTGGATATTCTCTTAGCAAGCTGAAACAACCAGCCTTAAGGTAAAATAATTTAGGGATGGGAGATTGAGGTCATAGTAAAATTGTATGTAAAATAATTTATACAAGGGCAGAATGGGTATTTGAAAATTTTGATACATCAGCCTTAAGGTTTTTCGTCTGGATTAGTGACGGAAGAGAGGATTTTGTTGGATTTTTTAAAAGTTGAGGGAAGGTATTTGTTAAAATAAAATTAGAGAGGATTTTATTATTGACAAAAACTTTAGGGGAGGTTTTTGTATTTTGTCCAAAAATATATAACATTTCTCTCTCTCTATATATAATTTATTGTCTAAATATTATATAATAATATTACCATATATGCATATAACTTATAAGTTGAACTTATTAGAAGCTGTTTAGCTTGGGCCTTATCCACTAGAGCCATCATTAGACTTCGAAAATACGATGCCCAATTTGACTTCAAATCTAATTATTTTAGATTTGGATGTTAGAAATTGCATTTAGTTAATAATTGAATTGGATGTGGATTCAACCTCATCCAATTTGATTAAAATCCACGTATAATAAAAAGTTATTATTTTGTATATATTGTATAATTATTATATATACATATATATTATGTGTAATTATACATATATACATTTATACTTAAAAATTCAAAATCAAACATAATAATAAATATAAATTTCGTAAACTAGTCCTAGTGTTTAACTATTATCTTAAAACCTCCCTACTATTTACACTTACACTTAGTTAAATTTGACATCACGTGACCGATATTTTTCTAAAAATTCCAAAAATACCCTTTCGAATCTCTCTCTCCTCACCTCTTTCCCTGCACAGTAGACCGTCAACCAACGCATTGCCGTTGAGACTTCATCTTCAACTGTTCTAACCGAGATTAACAGAAAAATCTCATATCCAGTACACAGACTCCATGCTGAAAGACTCGGGTTCCATGCTCCTCCGGTAGTTAGATCCAGTTCAAATCTCCCTGCCGTCTCCCTAATCGGATCTCAGATTTGGGTATCCATCACCAGAATCGATTCCGTGGTCAGATACAGTCCATATCTCAGACTCATACCGCTCCGGAGGTCGAGTTGTTGCCACGCGTTGGAGATCTATGTCTAAGATCTGAGATCTGGATTGCACATCGCAACTCAAACTCAGAACTTAGTTGGGCTGTATCTGACTAGAAATCTCAGTCCTCTGGGGCGGCACAAGTCTGTTGAGGTCTCCGGCGTTTTATCACACATCACTGTGTTTTACGCACCCACTGGAACTGAATGTCGGACGATGAACAACCATGGGAACTGCTCCACCGATTGCCTTGAACTAAGAAATTGCTCCACCGGGTTTCCTTTGATCCAAATACTGAAAACTGAATCCTAATCCCCCAGTCGCGAACTCGATTGGGGCTAGATGTGTAGGATTTGCATCCTGTAACTTCTGATAAAAAAGAGGGTACAATTCAGTGAGGAAGGAGGAGACGGCTTTGCTATTCTTCGCCATCGTTGTCAACCATGGTAACTTGAGCGAGAAGTTGGTTTCTCTCACAATTTCACGAATGATGTGATCTGCATATTAGCTTTTGGGAGGAAGTACAGCGCAGATGAGGGTGGGAAGAGGTTTAAGAAGTTGCTTATGGAATTTGTGTCGTTGTTGGGCACTTTTTGTGTGAAGGACTTCATTCCATCACTTGGGTGG